CCCGCCGCTTCTCTTCTTCGCTGCTACTTCTCTCTCTCTCTCTTCTCAGTTCTCAGTTCTCACACCAGTAGAGGTACTCTGTGTGTGTGTGTGTTTTTTCCCAGTGTACAATACAGCTTCTGACAGTGTGGTTATGCAGTCGCTTTTTGTAAAGTTGGTGAGGAGTACTAACTATAAGTACGTATTATCCAAACAAAAAAGTAGTAGCAGGCATTATCTTGGCGTCAAATTTGAAATTCCCGGAGACTTACGATATCGTTTTACGTCCGGGATATGGTTTTTGGATTGGCTTGTTTTTATGCCAAAATCGTTTTTAAATTATTTTGTAGCGTTTTGAATAAAGTAAAAAAGTTTTTACGCACTTATTTTTAAGCTAAAATAACAAAATAAGCCAAAAGCTACAATTCCTAGCTTTTGGCTTAAAAGTCAAACCCATCCAAACGGACTCTGAATTTTACCGGTCGTCATTCAACTTTGATTTTGTAACACAAAGTCACTTTTCTATTTTTTATCAAATAAAAGTCATTCAACTTTGAGTGTGTAAAACAAAAGTTGCTTTTCTATTTTTTGTAACACGAAAGTCATCTAATTTTCGCCAAATTAACTAAAACTATTAAATATCACCTAAATTTTATATTTTGTACCGAAAATATGAATTGAAACATCCAAAATAGCTATTTAGCTTAATAAAATATATTTAATAATAGATTAATTGTAGGGACCTCCCCGCAATATTTTTCTTCGTAACACTACTCTCTAGTGATTTATGGAATTACGTTCATCCCCAGCAACAAAAATAACATTACCCAATGAAAATTCTACAAGTGAGGTCTAAAGAGGTGATGTATACGTAGACGTTATCCCTACTTTGTGAAGGTAGAGAGGATGTTTCCGATAGAAAAATTACGTTTATCCCATCTTTTGATTTCTTTGTAACAACTCGAAACCATGGGCACTAAAAAAGATTCGGTCAGAATCGTCTGCGGCCGAAAATTAAATGAAGTACTCCAGATACAAAGTATGGAAAGGTGTCTATAACTTCTCCCCCAAGGGTCGGTCGGTTCTTGAAAATATTTTTTTTCAATATTTTACGAGACCGACCGAATTCAATAGTTTTTTTTTTTTGCTCCAAAATGTGAAGAATTATTTTTGCATCTCGCAAGAAACTGATCAACTTTGGCTGATTTTTCGTTTAAAATAAATTAAAGGTAATATTTTAAAAACCAACCAAAATTTTGAGTCGTTTTCAAAAACCGACCAATTTCGGTCATTCGTTTTACAAAATCGATCGATCTAGATCGGTAATTTTATTTTTTTACAAAATCGACCGAAAGTGTTTGGTTATTTTCGCGCAAAAATATAATTAAAGAGTATAAATAAAATAATAAAAATTAAACCAAAAGGCACCAATGACCTAGTGGTAAAATAATATCTTGCCATAGTATAGTCCCTAGTTCGATTCCAGATAGTGTATATTTCAATTTCATAATTTTAGAAAAATGACTGAAGTGAGTCAATTTTTTCAGTCGTCCTTTTTCTTTTGGTTTGGGTGTAGAATTAATTGACCGACCGAAGTTGGTCGCTTGGCTCTACAGACCTAACGTTTTTCGACCTTAATGAATCGGTCGCTTTTCGGTCAGGTTTTTGCCGAAAACCGACCGATATCAGTCAATTTTGACGGAACTTCTAGTAGTGAGGAACATATCGAGCTCGTAGATTTTGTGTTTAACGTTAAATTGTTTGATGCTCTAACCATGACTCTTCTACTAATTCAAAAATTTATTTATAAAATTCATTAAACAAATGAGTATAAATTAATATGGGCAAAATAATCAAATCATATATTTTACAATAATGATAATGAATTAACAAAATTATTACAAAGTATTGAAAATAAGGAAAGTAAACATAATATTTGTAAACCACAACTGGGATTCTCGAAACTTAGAGGAAGGTTTTTCAAATTATCCCAAAGCGACCGATTTACCCAAATCGTTAGGTCTGTAGAAAAAAAACAGAAAAATGACTTTTGTATTACAAATTCAAAGTTGAATGATTTTATGTGACAAAAAATAAAAAAGTGATTGTTGTGTTACAAACTCAAAATTGAATGATTGTCGGTGAAATTTACCCCATAACTAGACAGGTTTTAATTTTAAAAAATAACGGAAAAGGGTCAAAAATGCCCCAAACATATTAGAAATGGTTTAAATTTGCCCTCCTTCCACCTATAGGTAAAAATACCCCCAACGTTTATTTTCGGATTCAAAATGCCCCTCATTTTAACGGAAGTATGAGATGGCATATGTGAGGCTTTTAATTAAATAGGTGGCATTAATTTATTGGTACACGTGGATATTAGACCCATCCTTAATTAACCCGACCCATATGAGGTAAATCTAAAATCCAAACCCCTTTCTCCTTACTGGAAATTGGCAAATATCTTACACCGGTAAATTTTCCGAACAGCGATAGGGTGTAAGTTTGATGGGGAAGAAAATGGGGAAACAAACAATATTTGAATTTGCTCGTTTTCTCTTCTTCTCCGATAATTTCTTTTGTTCAAAGCTAACCCAAGAAAACCCATTTATAGGGAACGTAATAATGAAGAAAATTTCAAAGGGAAATGACCCATGTAATACTTTTGAAGTTTTCTGTTTGATGCTTGAGAATTGGATCCGTTGTAGATGAATATTTGTCATTTATAGTTTTGAAAGCGTATTCAAGAGTTGGTCTTGTTAAGCTAGGAATTCAGGTTCATGGACTATTGAGGAAAATGTGCACTGCTGATGATTTTCTTTCTCTGTTAATTGAGTTTCACGAAGGTAACATGGTTGTCAATGGTGAATACTTACCCATTTTCGTGACTTTCAAGTATTGTTTGTTTTCTATTTTCTTCTTCATCCCAAACTTGCACCCAATTACCGTTCGTCAGAAAATTACCAGTCGCCAATTTCCAGTAAGGAGAAAGGGGTTTGGATTTTGGATTTACTTCATATGTGTCGGGTTATTTATGGATGGGTCTAATATCCACGTGGACCAATAAATCAATGTCACCTATTTAATTAAAAGCCCCACATATGTCATCTCATACTTCCGTTAAAATGAGGGGCATTTTTAATCCGAAAATAAACGTTGGGAGTATTTTAAGACCAATAGGTAGAAGGAGGGCAAATTTAAACCATTTCTAATACGTTAAGGGCATTTTTTACCCTTTTCCGAAAAAATAAATAAAATTCAAAATTGTTTAGGAATTTTACTACTTTGTTCCATTTTATGCGTCTCTACAAACTTGTTTGTCTTTGAATTTCGGACCCCTACACGATACTAGAGTCAGGTATAGAATCAAAGGCTCCATGCAGCAAAACTCATGGATCCCTAGTCAAGTAGCCATCGACAAACACTTGTTGATTTAAAAATGTGGTCCCTCTTTTGTTCATTAGGTACACCAAACAAAGGGGCTCTTTCCTGTCATCCCTCAACAGAGCTATAAGGTCGCGGGGGCCTCCTCAAAGACCATGTGATCCTCCTTGCAACTGTTTTTTATTTTTTTGGTTTTTCGCCTCATATTCGATTGTCGTATTGTAATTTGAATATATGTTGCGTAAGGTCTATTAAAGGAGAAAGCGTTTCCGACCAATTTTTTTATTTTTTATTTTTAAGGCTCAAACTTAAAACCTCTAATTAAGGATGAAGAGATCTTATTCAGACTCTTGGCGGTAATTGCTTTATTTTTTGTTACTTACCACCCTAAGTTAACTTCCATCTCCATGTTCTTTGTTTACATGCCAATTGCCAAATCAAAAGTATGATCGTCCATTTGCAACAAATATTCTTTCCTTTCCATGTTTGTACAAGCAAATGTGTTTGTCCCTTTCCTCATAGTTTTGCGGAATTGAGAGTTATCGGCTACACCAACTCATGAAAATTAGACGTTGCCATGTCAATAAACATAAATACGTACCGTGCTATTTAAATGAACTGAAGCTTTTAGACACTAACTTAAACTTATTGACACCATCAAAAACTTTTCAAATCTAAAATGAGAGTAAATGAGCCGTAACTATGGAATCGCATGTTTGATAAAAAAAAAACAGTGCTTCAGGATTGAATTAAATATAGATAAAGTTGTAAAATTTTCATGTGGCGCTCAGTTTGCGTCACCTATTGAATTTATACTCACTTTTTAAAAAGAATTTAACTGGTACCCAATTTTTGGAAAATTTCAAATACATTACATTTTTTCTTCTTTTTCGTTGCTGCTTTCTTCTTCTTCTTTGTACGTAGGGTTTCTTCTTTTTCTTCTTAGTTG